CTATGGTACGGTGGTATCAAGTGTGATATCATCACTACCACGAAAAAAAAACAATTGCGTCACAAATGTTTTTTTAACACAATTGCAATTTTCTTCAAATCTATATCTTTTCAACTTCAAGCGAATCCATTGTAGCTTCAAATGCATCCGCCGCAACTTCCAGTGAATCCGTTGTATGCGATGGAAATATATGTGATAACCGACAAAGAGTACTGGACAGCTGTTTCGTTCTGTTTGGGACTTGTCAGTAGTGCGTACCCTTTGTGTCCCTCTCAGGACTCGAACCGCGAGCGTTCGGGTTGGGACTTCAAATCTTTACCACTCAGCTACACGGTCGACGGACATCACCTTGTGCGAATGGCTCAATCAATTTTAGAGTAGCATGCTTGGATTTGTCCATTCGATTTCTCAGAGAAACCAGGCACTCTTGGAGTTCTTTAGTGTGGCCTAGTCCAAGCTTGCTACTCTGTAGAATCTGTACCAAACTCAAGTGAATCCAACCAATCACATCCCCTTGAAACCCCACAACCTTATTGGTGTTTCGGCCATCAAACGTCACCGATTGGACCTGGTCTGTCTAAACCCCACCCAGTCCGAAAGTGGTCACTTCTCCGAAAACAAATAAAAGTACTTTTTGGTGAGTTACCGAGCGAGACGAAGACAAGATCGCTAATCACAACAACACAAAGAAAGGGAACAAGAGAGGATGAAAGTTTCGGTTGGGTGGGCTGTTCTCTCAGCGCCCCACCCTACATGTCCGTGATCGTTAATCAGGTGTGCTTCATAGACGCGAATGAACGAACCCGGCGGTAAATGACCTCTATCGGTCGGATAGGGAAGCGAATCACGTCAAGATGGATCGATAAATCGGTCACTATGCCCGGAGGTGAATGTGGGGATGAATTATCACGTGAGTGAATTCAGTCTAAGCCCTCAAAATCCTAGCGAGTAAATTTCAGTGGGGCTGTGATTCACCCAAATAACATACTCGATTTCTTTGAATCAAGTGTGATTGTCTACGCATTTCTGACATTGAAATTTGCACGCCTGACGAGATACTCAGCATGTATGAGCTGAAGAGTGTGACATTTGCAGTTAGCTTTTCCCTTCGAATCACTCACCACACAGATCAAAAATGATTCCTCATACCTCAACAATGAAAATAAATCCATCTGTTGGCGATTATTTAGACTAACCTGGAATAGACCTTAGTGGTTGATAGTTTGTAGCATTGACACCCCAACGAAAGGCAAAAGGTCGACCTGCCCAACCTAGTCGACTGTTTTTACATGATCGTTTGATTTTAGCAATGTATGAACTGCCTGCCTTGACTGACCTTCAATCACCTCGTGCCCTAGAAACCACTGCCTACCAAGGGGCTTCTTGTGCATGAAATTATTCACAACTGTAAAGTGGAAAATTAGTCTACTGTAATGATAAATGTTCTCTGAAATTCTGCGAGATCCTTCAAGTACTCCGCATATTGTTTTCCACACAGATAAAGAAACTCTGAACATTCACAAAAACGTTCAGTGATTAAAGCAAATAATTAACGAACAAATGTATTAAAAAAAGCATTTTGATGCCTGTCGGATAATGAACAAGAACATGATTAGGTGCATGCTGACCGTGATCCTTCGCGATTTGAGACTTGACGTCACCAATAGTGCTTCCTCAATAGGGTTGTCTTCACCCGCTCAGATCAGCTCAATTCAGAGTAGAAAAATGTCACAATATTTCGTGGTTCCACACATCTGGAAAATATGCTGTAAAGTGACTATCGCAGTGACACTGAACCTACTCTTTTATCCGACATTCAGTGGAACTGGGAATGCCACTTTTTAACAAACTTCCCACATTCTTCATGAAATCGTAAGTGGAGACAACTGTTCCTCAAGCTGTAGAAAATCGCAGATCAATATTAAGGGAAACCAAGGGGGGTATAATGTCACCATCTCAAATTTATACCCCGTGGAGCACCTAATGCAGAGTTATCGTCATTTGTGGGATGATGGATAACTATAACTCATTCCTGTAACCACCTGTCTGATTCACTAAACAATCAG